CCCCTCACAAACCGGAACTCACCCATCCCCTCACAAACCGGAACTCACCAACCCCTCTCACAAAGAGTCTATATTTACTTCAGTTTAATTGAAGAAATCAGTAGACAGGAATCTGCCCCAGCAAGGGCCATGGACCACATGACCCTGTAGCACCAGGCTGAGGAGGGCAGAGGCCATATGTGGCTTAAGTTTTGGGTGCTACTCAAGCCACCTGACAACGGCGAACAGGAAGGAGCCCTTGCAAAGAAAAGACCAGCCTGTACCATCCAGGCATGGAAGAAGATTAAAAGGTCAAAAACAGATCTACACTTGGCTCTGTCCATCCTTAATTTTCTCACTATAACCATAAAAATTAGCCTTCTATAGAAATGCAGAGACTGGCTTCCATAATGGAGGAGGAGCTACACAGGAAACCCCCAGGTGCCACAAGGTGTCACTCATCACGTGCAGATAGGGCAACAACAGAATGTGAGCAGCTCCCTTCGTGAATTGCTGAGTGGGTGTTCATCTTCCCTATGTGGAATCATCAGGGGTGAGGGACACCATGGTTCCCTGGCTCCAGCTGCTAATCTGACAGCCACCTGCTCTCCATCTCCCCATCACTCCCCCAGGCCTCCCATGTGGACCCTGCTGGTAGATTTTAAGTCTCAAAGAGCAATATACCATTTGTCTTTTGGGATACTGAGCAAGGACCAAAATAAGAGAAAAAAGTGAAGAAAGCAGCTTGTTATGGTCTAAAGGTGAGCCCAAAGTTCATGTGCTGGAAACTCAATCCCAAATGCAGAGGCGTTGGGAGGCTTAAGAGGTCTGCATTATGAGGACTCTGCCCTCTGAACAGGTGAATGCCATTATCTTGGGAATGAGCTCCTAGGAAAGAATGTGTTTGGCCCCCCTTGCTTTCTCTCTCTTTGTCACCTTCCCTTTGCCCTTCCATTTGGGGATGACAGAGCACAAAGGCCCTCACCAGATGCTGATTCCACAATCTTGGACTGCCCAGCCTCTAGATCCATGAGCTAATACATTTGTGTTCATAGGTTACCCCATCCATGGTATTCTGTTATAGCACATAAAGTGGACTAAGACACAGTCCCAGTCCAAGAAGCCAAAAGCAGTATCAGGTGGCAGTAAGACAGAAGTGCCCAGGAAACCCAATGGGCAGGTACTGAATACAGAGAAAGGGAAACGCAAGGACAAAATCACACATGGGCAACTACTGAGAATGGGCATTCTTGGTTATCCATCCAAATGCCTGCAGGGTTGCAGGTGTACCCCAGTGTGGGTGAAGGAGCCCTAACAGGAAGTGCAGCCCAGCACAGTGGATGATTTCCAACAGCACTGCCCTTGCTGCATGCAGCACTGCTGAGGAAGACTCAGATCAAAGTGCTGATGACTGCAGTGCCTGTGTGTCCTTGTCTGCAAGTGTCAGGGTTGGCAGCATCTGTCTGCGACCTCATCCCCCAGAGGATGGCTGTGAAAATGAAATGAAGTCTTGAGCCATGAAGTGGGATTGGATATTGGATGATGAGCCTTGCCAGACTGTGGCAGCATGTTTAGTGCCCCTCTTCCCACAGCGGTGAGTGGGCATTTGCTGCCTTCATGCATCAGAGTTGATCAGCCCAGAGTGATTTCTTTTCTTTTTTGTCATGTTAGAGGCGAACTCCTCCCACACTTGCCAAAGAATCCTTGATGGAGACAGAACATTGAACATAACTGAGGATTCTCTGACCTCATTGGATGACTGGGCCAGCACAGAGGGCAGCCTCCTGCAAACAGAGTGAACGGAGGCAGCCATAGGTATAGCCATCTACTCTCCTGTGAATACGCTGTGGGGCAGGATGTGCATTAACCACAAAGGCCCTACACAGAAAGCTTCAAAATAGAGCTTAATTTTTCAGAGCTGACTTTTCACAGAGCAATTAGTAGGAAGTGCTTCACCATGACACAGATCTAGGCTGTCCCTAATTTGGTTGAATAGCACTGAGTGACTGTCGTGACAAGCACTAGGACACCGAGAAGAGGAGGCAGACGATGGTCACTGCCTCCTCCAGGAACCCTCAGTCCAGGTCAGATCAAAGGGCCCCTGTCTCACAGCTGAGCTTCAAACACAGGAGGGTTTTTTTTTTCCTCTCTCTCTTTTTAACACGGAGTCTCACTCTGTCACCCAGGCTGGAATGCAGTGGCATGATCTCAGCTCACTGCAACCTCTGCCTCCCAGATTTAAGCAATTGTGCCTCGGACTCTGCAGTAGCTGGGATTACAGATATGAGCCCCTATGCCTAGATAATTTTTATATTTTTAGTGGAGATGGGGTTTCACTATGCTGGCAGGCTTGTTTTGAACTCCTGACCTCAGATGATCCACCCGCCTCAGCCTCCCAAAGTGCTGGGATTACAGGTGTGAGCCACCGCACCTTGCCAGGAGGATTTTAAAGACCATGGTGAATCAGCCCTCCACAACACAGTCTCAAGCTTGTTTTCTCTTCCACATTTGTTACCGAAGTTGACAACAAATAAAAGAGTCATAAACGACAGGAATTTGAGAGGTCTCTGCTAGCCTTACCCAGCAAGTATTATACAAATCAGGAAACAGAGATCCCCAAGGACAGTGAGATCTAATGCACATGTGGAATGAGATCCAGCACACACGTGCAGTGGAATCCAGTATACGTGTACAGCAGGATCTAGCACATACATATGGGATCTACACACACATGCAAGGGATTGAGCACATATGTGCAGTGGGATCTAGCACAAGTGGGCAGGGAGATCCAGCACACACATGAAGGGGAATCTGGCACACGTGCAGTGGGATTTAGCACACACACCTGCAGGGGGATCTCGCACACATGTGAGGGGATCCAGCACACACATGCAGGGGGATCTCGCACACGTGTGAGGTGATCAAGCACATATGTGCAGGGGTATCTAGCACACATGTGCAGGGGATCCAGGACACATGTGCAAGGGATCTAGCACACACGCAGGGGATCTAGCACACACATGTGCACGGGGATCTAGCACACATGTGAGGCGATCAAGCACAGATGTGCAGGGGGATCTAGCACACATGTGCAAGGGATCTAGCACACACACAGGGGATCTGACACACATGTGCAGGAGTATCTAGCACACATGTGAAGGGGGATCTAGCACACACATGAAGTGGGATCCAGCACACACATGCAGGAGTATCTAACACACATGTGCAGTGGAATCTAAGGCATGCGTGCGTCTCACAGTGATGTCTCTGAGCTGAAAAGTCAGACCTGGGTTTTCCTGGCTTGCCTCCTGAGAACACTTGGGCTCTGGCCATCATAGGATTCTCTTGCTTCCTGTCACGGTTGTGTGGGTAGGCCAGGTCCACAAAAAAAAAAGTATTTTCAATTGGTAAAACTGCTATAAGCATTGGAATGACTGGTCTGGGCCTCAGCAATGATTTTACGTCTTGTGAACTGGCCTGAACACTTGGTTGGAGTTCAGGTACAGGGTTGGTGAGTTATTCCAATGGTTCCCAGGCTTGCACCTCAAATACCAGAAGACAATCCATTCTAGGGGAAACCAACCATGGTGAACAGTGAAAAGGCTCATTGCAAACCAACATGGAGTTCATGCCCTTTGAGCCTGGGCTCTCCTGGGCAAGTGGCATGACACGAGTCATCAATTATCGTTATTTTTCCTGCAAACAGATGACCTACAATTTAACAGCATATTTGATTTTTTTGCACCCCCAGGCCATAAACACAATCTGTAATTGTGCTTGTGAGAAGCGGACCTCCCAGGCCTCAGGGCCTGACCATGGCCCAGGGTGGGGGGTGGGAAGGCTCTTACTGTGGCGCTTCTTGGTGTCTGCTTTGCCGTCCTCTTTAGCCACACCCAGGCAGCCCATCAGTTCTTGTACCGAGATGGATTTGTCATTATTCACATCACAGTATTCAACAAACTTCTTCACGCATTTTTTGGGCTTTGATTTTTTGCGAAGGAACCTCTTGAAGGGTTTGATTTCCTTTTTGCCGATGTCTCCACTGGAGTTTTTATCGAGTAGTTTGAAGTACCAGTGCACCACTCGCTCCTCTAGGGTGTGACTGGGGTCGGGTTCCGAGAGCCTGGAAGGAACACAGACGCTGTCAGGACGCTTAAACCCCTCAGCTGCCCCTTTCTCGCCACTGTCCTTCCATCAAACCCACAACCCCTGCTTGTAGTTCTCATGGTCCTGGTGTCTAAGCCTGCAGCATTGGTAATCAGATACAACAATTTAAATAAGTAATTTAGAAGAACACTTTTAGCAAAGATTTTTCAGGTTGGATTCAAAATTGCAAATGATGCAGTGAATTTGTGCCCAGCAAAGATGCAGTTGGCCTGTTCCTGAAGGACAAAAGTCCCCTTACCCTGGCTTCTGTGTGCACAGGACTGGCAAGTCAGCACATGCAGCTATACCCACCCGATACACCAGAACCCTGAGCTTTTCTAGCCCTGTAAATTTAATTCTTTTACACATCCTTTATGTCATAGGTATACCGGACGATGCAAATCTAAAACATTTTAAGTTGGAACTAGATAGCTTTCCTTGGATTATGACAGGTTCAATATTTTAGGGCATAAATAAGTAAAACTCTTCTAGAAGGTCTGGATGGGAGTCAGATCTTTAAAAGTGCACCAAATGGCAGAAATGCACCTTCTCGTTGAGATGGAGGGTGTGTGTGTGTGTGCATGGGCAGGCCCTCCTGGAGGTGCTGCCCTCTGGATTCTGCCTGTTGGGATGAGCTGCGCATTTCCAGGTATGAGAACACCATGAACTCCGACACCACTGCCAATTTATCAAACTTTCAAAGGAGTTTTTCAGATAGCAATCCATTTACTGCCTTCACTTTTAGTTTGCATTTAGTTTAGTTTGCAATTTAGTTTAGTTAGCAATTCATTTACTGCCTTTGTTGTTAGTTTGCAGTTTAGTTTAGTTTGCAAAAACAATCTTTCCAAGAATAGAAGATGTAAAGTTGAAATTTACGTAAATTTTGACTCCATTAAATTTCTTTTTCTTTTTCTTTTTATTTATTTATTTATTTTTTTGAGACAGAGTTTTTGCTCTTGTTGCCTTGGCTGAAGTGCAATGGTGCGGTCTTGGCTTACTGCAACCTCTGCCTCCCAGGTTCAAGTGATTCTCCTGCCTCAGTGTCCTGAGTAGCTGGGATTACAGGTGCCTGTCACCATGCTGGGCTAAGTTTTGTGTTTTTAGTATGGATGGGTTTTCACCATGTTGGCCAGGCTGGTCTCAAACTCCTGACCTCAGGTGATCCGCCTGCCTTGGTCTGCCAAAGTGCTTGGATTCCAGGTGTGAGACCCCGTGCCTGGCCTGCTCTATTACATTTAATTTCCTACACATTCATGACATTTTCTGTTAGCATTGCCTTTTTATTTCCTTAAGTCTTCTTTAGCAGACAGAGAGTGAGAAGAGAGGCTTTTAGTTCAGGAGACCAAAAAAGTCATCTAAAGAGGCTGAGATCATCAAGGGTTTGGGTGTCGGGGCTCTGGGGAGAAAGGCCAACATTCTAACGAAAGAAAAAAGTGAAAATCTCCATTCAAAATTTATTTGAAAGAAACAGATAAACTATTGCTAGTTCAGGGGGAATATCCGATGCTTGAGACGCCATCGCAGTAAAACCCTGGGGTTCTTCCACTCTCCTGAGGCTGATCTACAGAGGGTGGAAAAGAGGAGTGGTGGGAAATTCACTGAAGTCCACTACACTGTGCTGCAGGCCCCAGGTCCAGGAGTGCGGGAATGTCTACAATGTACTCAGGGAACATTTCTGGGTTCCAAAAATCCTATTTTGAGCAGTGTGAATGTCTTTGACACAACTGAATCATACGCCTGAAAGTAGTTAGGATGGCAAATGTACGTGCTGTACATTTTACTGCAATAAACATAATTGCACTTTGAGAACTTCAAATTAAACGTTGTCATTCCAAGTATTTAAAATCCAATGGATAACTCTAAAGTGCAATTTCAAAGCACAGAGCCCTCGGCAGGAGGTGCTCCCCCTGCCGTACTCCCCACCAACAGGGCCAGGGTCAGAGCCTACTACCCCATGGAGGCCCAGGAGTCACGGCTCAGGGCCACGTACCCCAATGGGAGCGCGTTCAGTGATTTAGTCATGCTACAAGAAAAACCTGCTAAGCAACGTCCTGTGTTTGCAGAGGGCTCCTTTTTAAGGCCCTACTGTGTCCAAATAAGCTGAGAAGGTCGCCAATATGTAATGTTCAGACTTTCCAGATTCCCCGGAATTCTGGGACCCCACCAACTCATTGTCCCACAGCGAACACAGCGTACCTGCCTGACGAGGAGGAGGGGTCGGAGACAGCGTGGACCATGTCTGTGGACAGCGCGTCCAGAATACTGGTCAGAAACTCATGCTTTTTGGCACCCGGGCAACCTGAAAAACATGTGTATGTTGTCACAGTTAACTCATAAAGCATAACAGATTTTCCTCTAAAATACAGGGCAATGTTGTTTTAGTGTTTGGAAATGAGTATTTTGGGCTACCTTAATCTTAATGAGCTAGTTTAAACACAAACACATTGTGCTATGTATATTGATTTTGAGCCATAGTTATTATTAATTCCAGTATTGTTTGAATTATTACGTGAGACTAAAATTCACAGGCATTAGTGTCTCACTGATCTTCAGAACTGCACTCAGAGGTGGGCAGTGTCACTCACCCAGCAAGCGTGACAGCAGAGGCACTGGGTGCTTAGGGACACTGGACATATGGAGTACACGCTGGGAGCACATGAGGCTGGCCATCCTGGCAAACGAGGCCAGAGCCTGTGATTCACCGCCACCCCCACCCGTCCAGAGCCACCTTGCTTCTCAGAGCTGAAGGAGGCAGTAGGGCAAAGAGCAGGAGGTCCGCAACGCCCGTCTCCTGGGGACTTGTCCACACCACAGCATCCACGCAAGCAGTCAGCATCGGTGCGAACAGTCTGCATCCGCAACGCCCGTCTCCTGGGGACTTGTCCACACCACAGCATCCACGCAAACAGTCAGCATCGGTGCGAACAGTCTGCATCCGCAATGCCAGTCTCCTGGGGACTTGTCCACACCACGGCATCTGTGTGAACAGTGAGCATCCGCAATGCCAGTCTCCTGGGGACTTGTCCACACCACGGCATCTGTGCGAACAATCTGCGTCCACAACGCCTGTCTTCTGGGGACTTTTTCACACCATGGCATCAGCGTGAAGAGTCAGCATCTGCAAGGCCTGTCTCCTGGGACTTGTCCAGACCACGGCATTGGCGCGAATAGTCAGCAGCAGGGTTTAGCGCTCATAGCTTTGGAGCCCAGAGCTGACTGTGTATGGATTCTGGGATCAGGGAATAATTCAGGCACCCAACATTCTGCAGCATGCCTTTCCCCTCCATCCTTCCCTCAACACCACTCTCCTCTCACACCGGTTAGGCATTCCCTGAGCTCCATGCCTGAGACACTCGTCCCACCCCAAATTCAAGATAACGTTTGAAAGAAGCCATCCACTTTCTCTGGGGTCTTTTCTCCTGAGACTGCTCCCGGCGCTACTGCCCCAGTCACAGCCGGACACAGGCAGCATCCCATGTCCTTAGGCCCAGGGTGGCATGGATGACGTGGGTCTCCTCGCTCTGGATGCCCTTTCAGCATAGAGAAGCCACTCAGCCGCCCAATACATGCTTGCTGGATCAATAAGCAAATGCAAGAGGTAGAAGCACCACTCTCGTTTCCCCGATGAGAACGGCGGGTCTAAGAGCTTCACAAGCAGGGAGCAGGGAGCAAAATCTGCCAATTCCAACTGGGTCTATCTGTGTGTAAATAGCCATGGGAGAGGTGACAAATGGAGCTCGTCACCATTTACATTTTGTTAAGTTTTTCTAAAGAAAACCCTTCCAGAATTCAGTAGAAAGAAGAGAAAGATACTGAGGGGAAAACAGAAGACAGAAACCAGGCACCGGCCCTGGAAGGACAGCGTCCCCACTGTGCCACGCTGTGCACTGAGACTCCCTGCCAGGGGCGGCTGCCCCTCCCTGGGGCTCTGCTGGGGCTGGGGATGCCCCATGGTGACTTCTGAGCCTGGAGAGCACCTCGGGCATTAGAACGTCTGCTCCGACCGTCCTCACCACGCCAGGAAGGGAGTTTACACCACACACCTTCTGCCCAATTTAGATTCCGTTTTTTACTAAGAAGTTTTAGACGGCCCCTCCAAAGAAAATCTCAGGAGCCCACTCAGTAAGTAGAGGATGTGCAGAGCTGCAGAGCCCAGGCAGAAAGCCGAGTGGGACTGAGGCCAGCCCCTCCCCTGCCTTCCCCATGGCCCTCGGAGGAAGAATTGTCTGAGATGAGAAAGGCTGTCTTGGGACTCCTCAGGGGACAGGACAGGCTGAGGGTGCCATGGGGAAAGGCAGTGCCACACGTGCTTCTCAGGCCCCTGGGTCGAGGGCACATTGGCGTGGACCACCCTGGGTCGAGGGCATACAACCACCCTCATCTAAGCAAGCAAATCTCTAATTTCACCCAGTCTACAACCTCTACCTTCACCCATATTATAACCTGCACCCTCAACCAGCAAACAACCTTTACCCTCACCCAACCTCCAACCTCACCTAACCCATAACCTTTTAATTTGTATCCAACTCACAACCTCTACCCCCACCCATACTTGCTAACCCACCCTCAATCCAGCCAATAACCTCCACCCTCACCCAACCTACAACCTCCCACCCTTACCAAACCTACAACTCCTCCCCTCACTCCACCATCCATAACTTTCACTCTCACCGAACCTAAGCAACTTCTATCCTCACCCACCCTACACCCTTACCCTCACCCAGCCTACAACCTCCATCCTCACCCAGCCTATAACCTGAAGCACTCTATCAGAGCAGGCAAGCCTCCTGAAATCATGATATGGCTCAGACCCAGCCCTGTTTCCTCTGTCTCTGCTGACCCTGGTGCCTCCTGTGGCGGTGGCCTCCGCCAGTACAGCACGGCCTCCTCTCTTCGGATCTTGTGAGTACAAATTATCTTTAATTGTCTCCTGACTTGCTCTAAGCAAATGACACCTCAAATTTCCTTCACTGACATACTATGTTGAAAAGGCCAGTAGGAACACTTACAGACGAATGCCAGACATTTGCCCTAACAGACCTTGATCCAGCCCAGAACGCCAATGCTAGTGTTTACACACCACACACTACATATTATTAGCCATTGACTCCTGCACACTGCACACCACACACACACAAACCATCCCCCCACACACAACATATACACACACACCCACATTTTATACACACACCACACACACATACCACACACACACACAGTCTGAGCTGCGTCCTGCAGGTGGTGCAGGATGCGGAGCTATGGGTTCCTCTGGAAGAGCAGCACAGGAACAGGGCCTCCAGGAAACTATCTTCTTAACTGTCAGAATCTATCTTGAAATAATTTGATCCCGAAATTTTCTGGCAAAATTCTGTCACCATAATCACAGCCTGGGCTCACTACACTCTACTTGAAATCACCAATTGCTGAATCACCCACCGTCACAAACTGGAATTCACTCACTTTTCCAAGCAAACCAGAACTCACTCACTCTACAAACGGAACTCACCCACTCCTCAAACCTGAACCCACCCAACTCCAAACCCAACCAACTGAATTACTTACTTTTACAAACGGAATTTATCTACACGAATTCAGAAACTTCACTACTTTTTACGAATTGAATGTTCTTATCTACTTTGCGAATTGAATTTATCTACCCTCACAAACCGGAACTCACCCACCACCCTCACAAACCGGAACTCACCTACCTCTCATAAACCGGAACTCTACCCAATTCTCCTACAAACCGAACTCACCTGCACCCCCTCACAAACCGGAACTCACCCATCTCACAAACCGGAACTCACCCATCCCCTCAAACCGGAACTCACTAACCCTCTCACAAAGAGTCTATATTTACTCAGTTTAATTGAAGAAATCATGAGGACCTGTTTACAAGGGCCATGGACCACATGACCCTCAGAGCACCAGGCTGAGGAGGGCAGAGGCCAGGCAGAGCAGGGAGCAGAAGTTTTGGGTGCTATCAACACTGACAAACGGGCGAACAGGAAGGAGTTCTGTAAAGAAAAGACCAGCCTGTACCATCCAGGCATGGAAGAAGATTAAAAGGTCAAAACAGATCACACGCCTTGGCCTCTGAACCATCTCACTCTTTCACTATAACCATAAAAATTAGCTTCTAGAAATGCAGAGACTGGCTTCATAATGAGGAGGAGCTTGCCACAGGAACTCCTCAGGTGCCACAAGGTGTCACTTCATCATGTGCAGATAGGGCAAATAACAGAATGTGAGCAGCTCTCTTGAACAATTGCTGAGTGGGTGTTCATCTTCCTAGTGGAAATCATCAGGGTGAGGGACACCATGGTTCCCTGGCTCCATTGCTAATCTGACAGCCACCTGCTCTCCATCTCCCCATCACTCCCAGGCCTCCCATGTGGACCCTGCTGGTAGATTTGGAAGTTCTAAAGAGTACTATACCTATTTCATTTCTTTTGGGATACTGAGCAAGGACCAAAATAAGAGAAAAAAAGTGAAGAGTTGGCTTGTTATGGTCTAGCAGAGCCCAAAGTTCATGTGTGTTGGAAACTCAATCCCAAATGCAGAGGCGTTGGGAGGCTTAAGAGGTCTGCATTAGGAGGACTCTGCCTCTGAACAGGTGAATGCCATTATCTTGGGAATGAGCTCTAGGAAAAGAATGTGTTTGGCCTCTGCTTTCTCTCTCTTTGTCACCTTTCCTTTGCTCCTTCCATTTGGGGATGACAGAGCACAAAAGGCCCTTACCAGATGCCAGATTCCATAATCTTGGACTGCCCAGCTCTAGATCTGAGCTAATACATTTGTGTTCATAGGGCATTCCACTCATATGGTATTCTGTTATAGCACATAAAGTGGACTAAGACACAGTCCTGTGCCTGAAGGTTGGGCCAAAAGCAGTATCAGGTGGCAGTAAGACAGAAGTGCCTGTGAAACCTAATGGGCAGGTACTGAATACAGAGGAAAGGGAAACGTGGGAATGTGACCACATGGCAACTACTGAGAAATGGCATTCTTGGTTATCCATCCAAATGCCTGCAGGGTTGCAGGTGTATACCCGCCAGTGTGGGAGGAAGGAGCCCTAACAGGAAGTGCAGCCCAGCACAGTGGATGATTTCCAACAGCACTGCCCTTGCTGCATGCAGCACTGCTGAGGAAGACTTCAGATCAAAGTGCTGATGATCGCAGTGCCTGTGTGTCCTTGTCTGCAAGTGTCAGGGTTGCAGCATCTGTCTGCGACCTCATCCCCAGAGGATGGCTGTGAAAATGAAAATGAAGTCTTGAGCCATGAAGTGGGATTGGATA